AATATTTACTGTCTAAAAATTTCTATCTTAGAACCTAATAGTAAAGTTTTGCTTAAAATATCATCTTTCCAATTAAGGTTTAGATTCCTGGAATACACATCCAGAACATGCCACTATGAATACCTGGCAAGTACTAGAAAACTTGGAATCTGGAATGACATATGAAATTAGAATAGTTGCTAAATCTGGTCAGAAAGGTGATGCTGACTTTGCTCAAATGGCCAGTGAAAAAAGAACATTTAAAACTGGAGGAGTGGGTATGTATAGATGTACATGATATTTCTATGTTGTTTTGTGGTAGTGGCTTTAATATTATTCAAAATCTGCTGAAGTGTGTTGTCTTTTTTCTGACTTTCTCTTTGGTTGTTTGGATATTATTAAATATAGATTCTCTCTGTTTGGGGTGAAAATAGGACAGGATTTGGTATGAAATTATCACTGAATGTATAATATTCAGATATATAATAATATATGATTTTATGTTAGGCTATTGGTATCCTGTAATGGCACGACTTTATCATAATAACACTTTATCAAACAACACAGAATCATTAGACAGTGGAAATACAGGAGGAGGTTTTTATTTCATTTATCTGGGTTGATTAATGTTGTCACAAAATAAAACCTTCAAAATTACTGTCATTTATTGTAGATTAGAATGTAGAATATACTAAATCATCCCTTTTAACTTAAACAATATATCTACTAATCACTTAATTAGATATACCATATTGATAAGTGTTACAGGTTTAATATTCTACCAAGTGAAAAGTTTGTTGTCATAGGATGAAATAAAACCCCTCAGATCAAAAGACAACTTTTAAATATCAGTGAAGTCATGAAAAGACAAGTTATAAATATCAATGAAGTCATGAAAAGACAAGTTATAAATATCAATGAAGTCATGAAAAGACAAGTTATAAATATCAATGAAGTCATGAAAAGACAAGTTATAAATATCAGTGAAGTCATGAAAAGACAAGTTATAGATGTCAATGAAGTCATGAAAAGACAAGTTATAAATATCAGTGAAGTCATGAAAAGACAAGTTATAAATATCAATGAAGTCATGAAAAGACAAGTTATAAATATCAATGAAGTCATGAAAAGACAAGTTATAAATATCAGTGAAGTCATGAAAAGACAAGTTATAGATATCAATGAAGTCATGAAAAGACAAGTTATAAATATCAGTGAAGTCATGAAAAGACAAGTTATAGATATCAATGAAGTCATGAAAAGACAAGTTATAAATATCAGTGAAGTCATGAAAAGACAAGTTATAGATATCAATGAAGTCATGAAAAGACAAGTTATAAATATCAATAAAGTCATGAAAAGATAAATTCTTTATACAATTGAAATCATGTATGTAATGAAAAGTTCCCAATGATAAAAAGAACTTTTGTCTAGAGCAGTGTTTTGGACA